CAAATATGTTTTCATGGATTACCCGCATAGCTGAAAAAATGTTTCAAATAGATTATAAGAAAGGTGACCATTCAGAGGGGAGACTGACATCCTTGGACTAGATGAGAAGGAGTGTCCACCAGGCCAGCGCAGAAGGTGACTGCACCCTCTGAGAATCTGTCTCTGGGTAGAGAAGGCAGAAGGGCAAAGTGCGGGATGATCCAAAAGTTCTGTTTCTGTTCACTGCACTAACCTGCCTAACTGCTAGCAGCGTCTGGCTACAGTGGGCCCTCATCATTGCAGGTTGAATGAAGGGCTGAAGGACCCCAGGTTCTAGAAGCAGTAATGGGGCCTGTTATATGCAGATGAATGAATGAATGTGGGCTCACAATTTGAGGGACATTGCTGTGACCGCAAGCAGAAAAAAAATTAAAGCAATCCTTCCTGCAATTACCACAGCTTCACTCTCTCCCAATTCCTTTGGACAAACCTCCTGCAAGAAACTCATTTCCAGCTGCATGGGAGAATGAAAGGACTATTTTTCTCTTCCTATGTTAAATACAAGCAAATTGCTTAAATAGAAGACAGCTCCTGATTGCTAGGAAATCAGCCATTCAGTTGGATTCAGATGGCACCTGGTGATCAGGGAGGAGGGAGTGGAGAGATGGAGGAAGCTGGTGTAGCCTGTCCAGGACCAAGGACGCTCAAGGACTGATGGGACCGAGTTCTGGAGGAAAGATTTGACATCACCTGGCCCAGCCCTCAGTTCACAAGTCCTGGAGAGTAAGAGGCATTTCCACCGTTCTCCACTTCCTTCCCCTTCCCTAAGCACAAGGGAATCCTTTAACAAATATGGCTGCTAAACCGAACTGGCTTCCTGAAGCCAGAGATTTTAGGATCACGCCCCCCTGCCCCAGCTCACCCAGCCTCAGGGCATTAAACTGCACATGTGCTTGCACACACACACACAATGATTATAATCCTATTGTTACACATTCCCAAGATATATTTATCATGTATTGCATGCTTCTACAGTTTTAGCAGGTGGCAGATCTTGGCAGTAGGCAGGGATATGCTGGTGTTAAAATCTCTCTTTAAATGGGGCACCAGGTTCCAGACACCTGATCAGCTGTGGGTCATGGGCATAGATACCAACCAGCTCTGGGTCCTAGGGTCAGTCTCCTCTGATCTTTCCTCTCTCAGTCTTTCTTGCAGGCCAGCTGTAAATTGGATTAATAATGGTATCCCTTTCATAGCACTGTCATGAAGATTAAGTGAGTTAATAATATATGTGAAGCACTCAGCACAATGCCTGGCACACAGTGAAGGTATATGTAAATGGTAGCCATTAGTATGATTGCTATTGTTGTTAATACCAGCCACAGCAAGGAAAACACTAGAGGTAACCATGTTCCAGCCCCATTATGTGGACTTTGTGGCACTGGGCTAAAAGGGAAAGAGCAGAAAGGTGAGCACAGGGGTTATCACTTGGGATACATTGGATCCAGGACCCTGGACAATATTTTCCCTGGAGGTAGGGGTGTTTCTTAGCCACCAGCTGCGTGACAATGTGTTTATGGAAAGCATGGGACCTTATGGCTTGAATGACTGCATTTCCAAGAGAAAAGAGTAGTTGTGTGGAAAATTCTGTCTGCTGGAAGGGCTGTCAGAGCCTATAGGAAGCCCCTGGTGCAATAGGACAAGCTGTCACTAGGCAACACCCATCAATCATCACTTCTCAAGGAACTTGACCTCCTTGGGTACCCTTCTCCTAAGACAGGGGTCCAGCGTTGCTCACATTTTCAGCCGGTTCAATATGAGGAACGCTGCCCACCAAGAAACAGAGAGTGCCTGGTTATTACACAAGGCTGACTTTAAATAGAGGACTTTTGCCACAAAATCCTGACTCAAGTCTGACCCTTGGTTTTCTGAATGTTTTAGTCTCTGACTTAATAAAAAGAATCTGTATAGAAAATGGGGAAGCAGGCAGGCATGAAAGAATTATTGAAGCTGGGGGTGGGCAAGGGGTTTGTAGTCTAGTCCCTCTGCTTTTGTGTTTGGAGACTTTTCCATAACAAAAGTGTGGAGCTTTTTAAAATAAGCTATTAATAATCTGTGGCCTGGCTAAGTTAAGGGTATCTCCTTGATCTTTGGCTAGAAGTTCCCTCAATCCAAGAGCATCCAGCAAGGGAACAAGATGAAGTGTGGTATCGGTCTGGCATCAAGCAGGATCTGCTGGTGTTTACTGGGAAAGAGGCAGGGGAGGTGCCTGTGCTTTGAAGAAGATGTAACATTAGCAGGAAAAAGGTAGAAGGGGGTATAGGCAGGTACCTTGGCAGCACTGGGGCAGTGGTGATTCAGTGGTAAAATTCTTGCCTTTCATGCAGAAGACCTGGTTCAATTCCCAACCATTGGACCTGATATGCAGCCACCTCTCATCTGTCAGTGGAGGCGTACATGTTGTTATGATGCTAAACAGGTTTCAGTGGAGCTCCCACACTCAGACAGGCTAGGAAGAAAGGCCTGGCGACCAACTGCCAAAAGCCAGACAGTGAAAACACTGTAGATCCTAACGGTCCAAGCTGCAGCCAATCATGGGGATGGCACAGGACCCAGCCATGTTTTATTCCATTGTGCATGGGCTCACCACGAGTTGGGGGCCAACCTGATGGCAGTTAACAACCACCTTTGCAATAGGTGATCCCAAGTCCCCAAATGTGGATGATTGGGCCCACCACTGGGGTTAGAGGTCCTCCCTCCTCTTTTCCTTAGATTCTGGCCTTCACATCATCCAGGCCATAACTGGGTATCCCCGACACATCTTCAGCTGAAAGCTGCACTCTCAGCACAGGACTCTCTGCAGCCTGTCATCAACCATCCCAAGGCCTCTCTGGGCCACACACCTGGATATGCTGGTCAATTGCCACCTCTGCTTAAAGGTGCCATTTCAGAGGCATCAAGCTGACAACTGCTGAAAAAGGAACGCTGTGAAATGCAGTCCAAGTCAGAGCTTCCGGACAGCATGGGAGGAGTGCTGGGGCCTCTCCACACTTCCTATACCTATAACCCAAAGGTAATTCCCACAGTGGCTGGTCACTGTGCTTGAAATTCCACTATTTGAGCCATTTGGGCATCATTCTTTGGGGCTACATATTGCTTTTTTGAGACAGTTTTCAAAGATACCTTTGAAGACTAACACATTAAAACCTGTGCGTGAACTGTTCACTGAGCTGCTTGATGTGGGTACCCAGAGGCTGGAGGGATGGGAAGAGAGGGAGTGAAGACAGGGAGCTGGGTAAGGACGACTCTCTTTCAGGGTACAGGTTTTTGGGTTTGGAACCACAGGTTAAGAGAAGTCCAGAAGTAGAGCTCATGAGGTCGCTGAAGTCCTCCAGGGCAAAGCACAGAAAGGCTATAGCAGCTAGGCAGGGAGCATGGCCCACAACAGCCAACCCCATCCCTGATGGTTCCCAGGGCTCCAGTCCCCACCTTTGTGGAGACCAGGAATGGAGGTGGCCTCTAAAGTTCCTGTGTCTGCCCCTTTCCCTTGCCCAGTGATAGATGCCTGATGGACACCCACGAGGATACCCTCAACCATCCCACTGTGTTTCTGGTGTAAATGTAGTTAATATGCATGAGCTGGAGTGTAGGGGGACCCACAGGGCTTTAGGGGTAGAGGATGGGGAGAACTCTCCAACCCATCCCCAGTACAACTTCCCCAGGGGATACTCCTCCCTCCACAACAATTCTTCCATGCACCCATTTTAAAGGAGCATATACAGAGAAGGCAACAGGGTCTGGGTCTGCCTGCAGAAGAGCAGCCCAAGGCTCCAGTCCTTCCACACACATGTGACAACACCATGTACCCAACCCGAGCAAATGCCAGGCACCAGTCTAAGCTTTACACAGACAAACTCGTTTAATCCTCACAACACTATGATATTTATATATACACACACTACTATTGACCCATTTACAGGTGAGAAAACTGAGGCTCAGAGAAATTAATATTTCATCCAAGATCACAGAGCTAGTAGGAGGTGGAGCTAATGGTAGAGAAGCCTAGGTTGCCCATGTTTATCCACTGTGCGCCCTGCATGGCGTGCCTTCATCTCCACCTGGCTGGCAGGGACAGGTGGCTACTCCCTCCAGACTGGGCACTTAGCAAACCGTGTATGTATGCTTCAATCTCAGAAGAACCCAGTGAAGGAAGAGGCATGATACTCACTGCGTACATCGAGAAGCAATACCAGAGAAGTCAGATAACCTACTAGGGCCACACAGCCCAGGAAACAGCAAAACTGAAATCCAAATCTCTGCCCGCTTCCCAGCTTGAGTAGGGCACTGAAGAGAATAATGGAGACCAGGAGGGAGGGACAGAGGAGGAAGAGTGAGGAGGTGGGATATGGAAGTGACATCTAGAGACAGACTCATGGAGACTGTCCTCAGGCCTGACAGCTGCCTCTGCTGGGTTCCAAGGAAGCTCTGAAACCTCCCCAGGTGGCCTAGTGAGGACTGGGAGGTACAGGAGACCCAGAGCAGCTGTCACTGGAGATCTACTCTCACTGTCCCACCCACTCCAGTACATAGCCTCAGGCCTCCATGGGGCCTGCATGCCTGCCCCCAGACTCCTAGCTACTGGGAACATGGGCAGGATAGGTGGTGCTAGATCTCCTGACCCGTGGTGAGCTTCGACAAACAGGGATGAGGGCTGGACAAGGTACCTCCTCCAGAGAACACGGGTGAGGCCCGATTGCAGGATAGGCAGATCAGGAGTGCAAGGGGCAGTCCAAGGCCCAGAAACCAAGGATGATGGCCACATAGAGAACCAGCTGGGATGGAAGCACTGCCTCCTGCCCATAGGGCATTTCCTCTCCCTCAGACCCCACCCTTGCCAGCCCTGCGAAAAGGACCAAGGGCTCCCCTGCAAAGAGCTAGGACCAAAGACTTCCCCTCTGGAAGAGGAGCTGGTGTGCTGCTGGGAAGGGAGCAGATGCACGGTGGGGAGGGCCTAAGGGCCTTCACTTGAGTAGGCGCTGCCGGTATAGCACTGCCAGCAGCACGGCCAGGAGTACGCCAGCTGTAGCCGCCCCAAACCACGGAGCCCAGGGGAAGGTGTAGACACATGGACATGGTTCCTCCTGCTCCAGCACCTCTTGCACCAGGGGCTGTGGGGCAGCAAGCACTCCAGGGTTGTCATCCAGGAGGTTAACACTGGGGTCTTTGCTCACGTGGAGCCCAAAAGAGCCCACAGAGCTGGACACATACTCGTCTTCCTCTGGGATGTTGCTGGGCCTTGCATCTAGGGAGTCGCTGCGGCTGATGGCTAGCTCCTCAGAGATGCCTGAGAACGGCTGGCTGACCACGTGGGATACCAGCTCCTCTGGCTTGCTCAGCTCCAGCCCTGAGGCCAACGTGCTGTCTGGCCAGAGAGAGCTGCCTCCAGGGCTCACAGGTGCTGTAGCTGCTGGGGTCTCCTGGGAAAGAGAGGAAGGTGCTGGAAGGGATTGGGCGTGGCTAGAAACAAACAGGTTGGGCAGCTCCGCTTTCAGGCCAGAGCATGTATCACAACCAAGCCACAGTCCTTAATGCTCCTGGGGTCACTAGCTCTTGAGGACCTAACCCACTGGTGTTACAGATGGGGTAGGAGGGGACCAAGGTCCTGCAGTAGCCTTGGTAGGGTGGCCCCATCCTGCATCAACATTCTGCAGGGTCAGAGGCCTGGCCATTCGTCTGACAGCCCCACAGATTTGGTTCCTCCAGGCATATAGAAGCAGTGGGGCTGGGCCTGGACTGTTGTCCATTAGCCCCTAGTCATAGAGAGGTAGGCCACACATCCTGGTGGTGAAAAGCAAGGCATCAAGGCATGCAGACCACCCACTCTATCCAGCATTCACTGCTCTCAAGCAACCTCACTTCCTCATCTGCAGAATGGGGTTAAGCCTAACAGGGAGCTATGAGCTCTAAATGAGTTAGCAGAAAGTAGGGGTGCCCCATCATGCCAGATCCTTGAGGCATCCACACTTAGGAATTCTAATGACTATTATTACTCCTGGAAAACATGGAATAGGGTCTAGATGAGGTTGGTTCTCAGTTATCCCTTCACCCTCAAAGAGAAGTCCTATACTAGCCCAAGCTGGACACAGAACAGGCATTGGGTAAGGGTTTAAGGAAAAGGCCAGGAAGACAAACTTTCCTAGGGGAAAGGGGCCTGGGTCACTGTTAGGGGGGACAAGAACTCACCTCTGGTCTACTGCTGTTCCTGCTGATGGACACTGTGTTGATGGGCACCTTGTTGGAAACCATGCTAGTGGGCATCCTGTGGTCAGACCCCAAGCCAGTGGACACTTTGGATGGCACTGTGCCAACACGCATTGAGTTGGTGGGCAATTTGGATGAATGCACATTAGAGGGCATTGTACCAGGGGGCTTCACACTGGTGGGCAACTTGCTGACAAAGGCTGAGTTGGCAGGCACTTTGGAGGGCACTGTATTTACAGGCATTGTGGGCAACTTGGAGGGTGCTGTGCTGATGGGTGCTGAGTTGGTAGGCACTTTGGTGAGTGCTGTGCTGGTAGTTACAGAGTTGGTAGGTACCCCTGTCTCACTGGAGCAGAAGGTAACCTCAGCCTGGTCACCAGCACCACCTGCAGAAGGCAAGCCAGTGGGTGTGAAGGAGGAGGTGCCAGTGGATGGAGCTGACGCTGGAGGTCCAGGCAAGCGGCTTGCTCTGGGGGTGGAGCGGGCCAGGGGCTGGAAGGAGACGGACGGAGACACAGGCCCACAGGGTGATGTGGGGCTGGAGACCATGCCTGCAGGTGTCAAAACAAAAGCAGAAATACGAACCCACAGGACCATTACCTTAAACTCATAGTCACTCTGGGATCAGAGGGCTGGAGAAAGGTCTCTCTGGCCCAGGTCCCACCACCCTGACCACATCCAGGCTTCCAGTCTCCTGCCTATGGAGGGAGACTCCACAGCCCCTTTGGCCACCGCTCCCAGGGCTGCAAGCACATCCTTGGATTCTACTTCCCCTTACTCCTTGACCTATAGACCTGAAGCTGCCATTCCCCAAGAATGAGATGGTCCCTCCCCCTTAGAGTCCCTAGGAGTGTGGAGATCATTATTAATTATTCTCTCTCCTTTTTTGTCTGGCCGAGATCTCTTCCTTCCCTCTTGTGTCTGTTTTCCTATCTTCTCTTTAGCCTGATGGAATCCTGGTGGTTCCTCACATTGTCATCTTTCCTCCTCCCACCAAGAGAAGCAGGAGCAATCCTGGAGCAGGCAGAGGGCAGCAGAAGGCTCAAGCAGACCAGTTCATACCAGTCACAGGGGCACCAGAGGCCCAGCTAGCTGCTAGTGTTTGCAAGGGCTGGGGGGACAAAGAGAGGCAGGGACAAAGCCAGCCCAGGGAGGAGGGCCTGCCCTGGGGGAAGCAGGAGGTAGCAGGTAGTGATGGTTTGTAAAGATGGCCCCATCAGGATTCCCCCTGGACTCTATGCAAACACACATGACAATAAAATTAATAAAATAAAATGAGAAAACACACATGCCAGGTCCTATGATTGACAAAGGCCAGAAGTGATTCTGATGTGACCCCCAAACCTAACATCACAGATCCTCATGAGCCTGTGTCCAGGAACATACGAAAATCTAAGTGTCCTTTGCCTCCCTGGTCCACAGCAGCATTTCCTGAAAGATGTGTCATGGCAATCAACATGGCAAAGTACAAATGGGTCCTTGTGGGAAAGTTTCGGGGTAACTCAAAATCATAAAAAAGACTAGGCTTACTGGTCTGATAGAGACTGGTGAAATTCTTGAGACTATGGCCCCTAGTCACCCTTCAGGCCTGGAATTGAACTCACTTCCATGGCTTCCAGCCAGACAATGGACAGGCATATAAAGTGAACATTTATACCAGGTAGATACACTCCTTAGAACAATCAACCATGGGAGATCAGAAGGGTGGTATATGCACAGGGAGATAAGTAAGGGGGCAGGAATGCATAAGAAAGGACACAGGGAAAAGGTAACCACAGGTAGGAAGTGGGAGGAGAGCTGTTACATCATGGGGATTGCAGTCAATGTCATGAAACAAAATGTACATGAACTGCTGTATGGCAAATGAATTTGCTCTGTAAAAATGTTCACCCAAATCACAGTAATTAAACAAATAAAAAAGGAAAAAATAGTTTTGGGAGACAGAAGTGTAAGGCACCAAGATAGCTTCTCTGAGCTTTTAACTGTTCATGTGCCCTGTGGCTGTCCCAGGTGTACTCAGTGCTGACTGGTCACCAGTATCATATAGAACAGTTTGGGAAGTAGTGGTATAGAGAGATACTAGCCTGGAGGTTGGATGGATGACCGGATATTCCTGAGGGGGACCACCGAGGTCTAACGCCTATGGTGCCAAGCCTCTGGCTGATGAAGACCATACTGAGAAGTTTTAGTGATTTGCTGGGAGCTGCAGACCTCTTTGGGGTGGGACAGTGTGTAAGAGAGCCTCTGCCCACAACTGGCCCACCTCTGAACTCCACTTGCCACTGTCCTCCAGGTCTTGGCTGATACTCCCCCAACTGTCATCCAGGTCTTGGCAGGTCCCTTTGATAGGAAATGGCTCAAATTCTGCTCCCCTCCTTGGATCTGCATCCTTGGCCAAGTGACTGGCCGTCCTCTCACCTAGGGCTAGAGTCTGTCCTCTACTTCTTGAATCTGCACTGGCCTATAACTTGCCTTGGCCCACAGAATGGAACAGGTGTGACACTGGGTCCCGTTTTGAGCAAATGCTTTAGGAAACCCTCCCTCCCTCGTAGAATTCTGCCAGCTGCCAGGAGATGGATGTAACTGCTGAAAGATGAGAGGTGCTGCAGCCAGCAGCCAGGAACATAGCCACTAGCTGACCAGTGACACAAGAAGGAACCCAGCCAAGTCAGTTGCCACTCCTGAGCCATAGAATCATGAGTATTTTAAGCAACTAAATGTTGGAGTTGTTTGTTACGTGGCAACGCTGATACTGCTTCTGAGGAATCAGGTTGCTCCCCGGGGTGAATCCTCTTTACTCCAACCCTTCCCTCCTGTCCAAGGAAGCCAGAGGGGAAACTCTAATCCTCAGCCTCACTGGAGAGGTGAGAAAGGCCCTTTACCTCCTGGCTGCATGCATACCTGCTTTGTGGGTTCTGCCCAGTTCTGTGTCCTGCTCCTGGTGCCTGCTGGAAGTTACAGAGCTGAGGGTCGCTGTATCAGAGGAGGGCTCCAGGGTCCCAGCTGGCCTCCTTGGGATAGCCCCTGAGCTGGGTGTCTGTGGGGCTTGCTCTGAACTCTGCAAGAGGGAATATGTGACTAAGGCAGCCACTTCTCCCAGGAACCCAAACAGAGTCTTATACCCACCGGCCAGCTCCTACAGACCTCTGCCCATGCCTTAGATGATCTTGTACTTGCTTCATAGAAAACACACACACCATCCATGGGGATTCCCTGTCCATCTGTCTGGCCCTACAGAAAAGCATCCCTCTCTGTGGCCATTGCCCAGACCCCTTTCCAGAGATTCAGGTCTGTAGTTTGGATTTTCCTGGACATCTCACTGCCCACTCATCACATCCCAAAACAATCAGTTATCTTCCCCCAAATCTGACTTTGCTGGCAGTAAGATCAGTCCCTCTATCCACGCCCCTGCCCATCATCTCCTGTTTCCCCCACCCTCTTCATCTGGTCCCCAGGTCTCTCAACTCAGCTCAGCATCTCATGTGCACCCTTGAAAAGATCGCAAAAGTTTGGCCTCACAGCATCTGGTTGAGGGTTGAGGGCTGCCACAGTGTGAAGTCCTGGTCAAGGGCCTGGAAGCTGGGCTGGGCAGCTCTATGGGGGGAGCTCTGGAGTTTCTCAGCAGAGATTAGTCATATTTTGTGGAGGGAGGGAGGGCTCTAGAAGGCCGGGTATGCAGGAATGGGCAGACAGGAATAAGAGAACAAGGTGACTCAAGGCAGATGGTGAGGACGCACCTCCCCCAGGGACTCTGGCAGCTGAGTGTCCTGGACAGGCAAAGGATAACTTGGCTCATCCTCTCTGTAGCCATTGTGGGGGACGCTGGGGGCTGCAGCAGGCCTTGGAACCTCAGAAGTGACTGGCAACGGCTCCTTTGGGGCTGAGGGGTGATTTGGAGTTCCTGGAGGACAAAGATACAGCATTACAGAAATCAGGGGTGTGCCCAGTAATGGGAGAGGCTGGAGTGCTCTCAGAGGGAACACCAAGTTTGTGGCTCCCTGGCCCCCAACAGCTTCAAAAGCAATGCTAAGGTGGGGTGAGGTGACAAACACAGCTGGGAGGAGTGGGGGAGGGGGAGGAGTGAGGGCAGGAGTGGGAGAGAAAGAGGAAATGGGAAGGACAGAAAGACACAGGAGGACGGGGTAGGAGTCAAGGAGCCTCACAGGCTTCTGATCACCCCCCAGACTGGTCATCTGTCAGTCACTCCTTTTCTCCCCTCAGGCATTCTCCTTCTCCAACTAACCCACCTTGAATGCTGCCTCCTCAGCGCCCCACTACAGCCCCTGACATTGTCCATGAAGAAGAAGAAAGGAAGGGAGAAAAGAAGGGAGGGAAGAAAAACGAAGGGAGAAGAGAGGAAGGGAGGAAGAAAGGGAACAAAGGAAGGAAGGAAGCCAGACAGGGAGGCAAAGATGGAGATGTTTCAAAGTTGTCAATCTGACCAGGGTCTCACAGGGGTCACCTGGGAGGGACTGCCTCTGGCTGGTTTGATTAAATGTTCCTGAGGCATAACTTCTTTCCTTCCAGTCTCACCCTTCAGACCCCATCTCATCATGTGCCCTCTGGGCACCTGGACAGGAAGTTGGCATTGGGAGGAAGTCAATGCATAAGGGGGCATACCTGGAGGGTAGAGCTAGAAGGATCTAGAGGAAACTAGGGGAAGTGTAAGGAGGGAGAGGAAGGAAGGAAACCATGAGGGAAAAACAGAAGACAGTGAGGGAGAGAAAGAAGTGAGATGAATAGAGAAAGGGAGGGTCAACCAGGGGAGAAGAGACAGGAGGAAATGAGAAAGGGTGGGAGGCAAACGTTAGAGGAGACCCCATTTATAGGGCACATTGTAGGCACCAAGCCCCAGCTGAGCACTCAACATGCCATGGTCTCATAGTATCTACTGCAGCCTGTGAGGTTGTGGCAGCCAATAGCCCATTTTACAGAACAAGAGACTGAGCCTCAGGGAAGTTACGGGATTTGGCCAAGGGACACTGCTAGTAAGTGGTTCATTTGGGATCCACACCTAGGTTTGTCCATTGTCCAGGAGTGATGGGAAGTAAGGTGACAGAGACAGGCAGGGGTGAGGGAAAAGAGAAGGGAGGCTAGGGGAGGGATAGACAGGGGTGCCAGGAGAAGGGCTAGAGCAAGAAGCTTACGGGGCAGGTTGCTCTCGTAGACACGGGCCACTTCTTCAGCAAGAACAGACAGCTCACAGGCCCTCAGTGCCCCAATGAAGGAATCTACCCAGCCGCTTCGCCGCCTAAGGCTATTGAAGAGGTCCCAGAGAGTGTCACGGTTCCCTATGCGTGTGTAGGAGGCCCGAAGCCGATCCTGGAAAACACAGCCCCACCGCCATACTCAAAACAGGTAGTCCCAGGTCTTTCCCACTCCACAGGGGTAGCTGCAGGAGGAGGTATAGAGAAAGCTATTAGAAAGGGGCAGCGTCTAGAACTGGGTCAAGCCCAAGGCAAGGCCAGGGTTCAAACCCAAGTATAAGGTGAGGGAGAAAAGAGAAAAAGTACAACAACAATCATAAAGCTACTAGAAACAGGAAATAGGCTGACAATGTCCTAGGTTCTAGGTTAAGGGCCTTGCATAAGTTATCTCGTTTAATACTATTATTATCCCTACTTTGTTTTTTGTGGTTGTCAGGTGACGTTTCAGTCATTTTCAACTCAGAGTTGACCCCACGTGACAGAGAAGAACTGCCCCATAGGGTTTTCTTGGTTGTGATCTTTACAGAAGCAAATCTCCTGCAGAGCCCCTGTTTGGGTTCAAATCTCCAACCTTTCGGTTAGCAGCTAACTGCTTAACCATTTGTGCCACCAGAGCTCCTTTCCCTACTTTAGTGATTAGGAAACTGAGACTTAGAAGAAGCAAGGCAGCAAAGGCCCTACAGCAGTGGGGTGGGGCCTTTAATCAGTTAATCAAATGCAAAAAGACTTGAGTTTATATGTCCCCCAAGGTGAAAAGGAAGGTTTGGGATTCACAGAGGAAAAGGTGCATAGAAAAAATAAGATGCAAGGGGGCAAAAGAGAGGGGGCCAACTATAAATAACAAGGGGAATGAGAAGATTAGGAAGGTTCTGGAAAGACAGCCACTGCTTTTAAAATTGACCCAAATTCTGTATGGATAGCCAAACTATGGTACATACACACAATGGAATACTATGCAACACTAAAGAATAAGTAGAATCTGCAAAATACCACATAACACGGATGAACTTGCAGGACATTATGCTGAGCGAAATAAGTCAATCACAGAAGGACAAATATAGAATTAGTTCATTATTGTAAAAAGTCAAGGAAAGGTTTACATATGGAAGGAAACTTTCTTTGTTGGTTACCAGAGGTGGGAGGGAAGGGGAAAGAACACCAGAAAAAAAAAAAAAAAAAAAAGCATTGACCTATATCACTTTAGTTTTGTGTATTTCACAGTACATAAATTATATTTCAATAAAATGTATTTAAAAAAATCAACCTAAATTCCATTTTGAAATCCACCCAAATTTCCACATCAAAACTGATGAGCAACCAGAGAACAGAAGCAAAATCCCATAGAAAACATTAGCTACAAGACTAGGTGACAAGAGGGAGAGGCCAAACCCCATCAGCACATCTTCATACTAATACACTTATACGGGAGGAAGCAGAGAAAAGCAACTGGGCTTCTGAGAAAAAGATCCCAAAAGAGCCAACAGGTACCCACTGGGAAGCACAGGGTTCGATGTGAGAATAGCAGATAAAAGTGGAGGGGGATCTGCCCACTTGGCTAAGAGTCACCAAGAGTTCTGAGGGGCCAGAAGGTGGGCTCCTATGAACTCTCAAAACTGAGCCCCAGGGATTAAGAATGTTTTACAAAATAACTAACTGGCCATCAATCTTCAAAAATGTCAACGATGGTCAGAGAGTCAAGGAAAGACTGAAGAACTAGTTCAGATTAAAGGAGACTACATAGACAACTAAATGTGACACAATTCTGAAATGGATCCTTTCCGCTTAAGGACATTATTGGGGCAGCTGGTGAAACCCGAATGGGGTCGGAAGTTGGATGGCAATAAAGTATCGATGCCAATGCCCTGACTCTGATGGCTTTTTTGTACTTATGTAAGAGAATGTTGTTTGTAGGTAATATATATAGCAAAGCATTTGCACAGGTGATAGAGCATATTGTCAGCAACATAGTCTTAAACAGCTCAAGGCAAAAAAAAAATTCTTTGCATGGTACCCAGCTACCACTGTCAACCACTTGGAAATGGATCAGTGCAGGAGATGCTGGATAGAGTGGCAGAATAAAACGGAACAAGACTCAAAATCACACACACACACACACACACACACAAAAGTATCAGGTTTACTGGTCTCATAGAGCCTGGTGAGATCCCTGACAGTATGGCCCCTACTCATCTTTCAGGTCTGGAACTGAACTCATTCCTGTGGCTTCCAGCCAAACAACAGATAGGCATATAGGGTGAACATTTATATCAGGTAGATACACTCCTTAGAATGATCTATCATGGGAGAACAGAAGGGCAGTACTTGCACAAGGAGATAGCTCGGCGGGCAGGAATGCACAGGAGAGAAGGACACAGGGAAGAGGTAACTACAGGGAAGCAGTGGGAAGAGAGCTGTTACCCTGTGGGGAACTGCAGTCAATGTCATGAAACAAAATGTGTATGAACTGCTGTACAGAAAATGAATTTGCTCTGTAAACTTTCACCCAAATCACAATAAAAATTAAAAATAAAAATAAAAAGAGAAATAAATAAGTTCTTTGCACTGGTCTTACAACTGTTCTATAAATTTAAAATTATTTCAAAACAAAAAGGGGAAAAAAAACAAACATAACTGCTCCTTAGGGTTCCCCACCCGCAGAGTCCCAGGACAAGAAGAAGAGAATGAAAACTGAGCAGGACAAGGACAAAAGAGATGAAGAAAGTAGGAGTTTCAGGTAAAAGTGGGAAAGGGGACCAGAGGCAGGACATCTCAGAAAGCCAGCAGCCATGTTGTTGAGCACTACACAAACACAACACAAGAGGGAGCTCAGTGAAGTCATTTGGAACCACACTCAGTGTTAAGAGTTAAGGAAAACTAATTTTGTGATAAATAAGCAACAGGACAAGTTCAAGGACAAAAGGCAAGAAGAGACAATGATAAGAAAAGGAAGGACTTGGCCCTGGCTTGGGGATGGGGCTGAGCTCTGACATCCACAGCCGTGCCCCCAACCTATGACCACCTCTCTCTCCGGCTCACCTGGTCACTTGGTGTGAGGCAGGACAAGTAAGGCAGAATCTCGAGAACATCGATATGACAAAAATTTCTGTGATGGTGGCGGATATACAGATAGGTGTTGTCCTCAGCAAGCGTCATCACTGCTTAGATCCTAAAGAGAGAGAGGGTGAAAGGGAGATGGACTGAGAAGAAAAAAGACTGGAAGGAAACAGGTCACACATGGCAATAGGGTTGGGGGTAAGGTGAGACAAAAGGCAATTCTTTCTCCCTCAATTTTTTTAAATTTCTAATTTTTTCTTTAATGACCATATCCTATTTTATTAACCCCTGGGACCTCAATGAATTTGTTGAAAAACTAATTGATAACCAAACAGAATCAGATCCAGAAGACCCAGGGCCCATTTCTGCCTTACAGTTGGTTGGTCAGTGTTAAGGTGGGCTCTGGCTGCCCCCATCATCCCAGACCTACATCTCCATGAGGCCCCTAGCTGTTGTACCTGAGTGTACTGGCTCCCCTCCCAGCACCAAGACCTCAGGCTGATAGCAAGAGTTCCACCCAGAAGTACTGCTGCTTTTGGGCATACTGGGAGGAAAAAAGAGGCCCAAGATGATAATAATTAGATCATCCTACTTTAGAGGTTAGGAGCTCTGGTAGCATAGTGCCTAAAGCACTTGACTGCTAACCAGAAGGCTGGCAGTTCAAACCCACCAGCCACTCCTTGGAAGGAAGTTTAGGCAATCTAAACCCCGGAAACCCAAGGAGGGGTCACTATGAGTTGGGCCCGACTCAGCAGCACTAACAACAGCAACAACAACTTTAGAGGTTAAAAAAATGAGATGACAAAAATTTAGAGAATGCTCTAGATAGTGAAAGAGCAAAGAAATGAGGTTTTCAGGCTCTAAGATCAGGTTCTTCCTAGAACATAACTGTAGGTCCACCATTAAAGCTTGCTACACACATGTTCTCATGGTAGGAAACCACTTCCACTGCTCTAAACTCACTGTGTGTCCTGAGACAAGTTGGCAGGCTTTTCCTCACTTCCACGAATAGCTCAGGAAGCTTTAATTAAAACCCAAACCCACTTCCATGGAGTCCAACTCACAGAAACCCCGTAGGACAGAGTCTAATTGCCCCCATGGGGTTGTAAATCTTTATGGAAGCAGACTATCTCATATTTCTCCCACAAAGCGGCTGGTGGGTTCAAACTGCCAACCGTTTGGTTAGCAGCCAAATGCTTTTAATCACTATGCCACCAGAGATCCTGACAAGGTAACAGTTCACCCTACAAATTTGAAATTTTGAAAGTGCCTAAAATATAAGCAACTGCTGTTGTTTGTTTTATGTTACACTTATTATAATTTTTAATATAGTGTATTTGCCAGTTTCTTACCTTCCTCTCCCATCAGGGAATGCTACAGGGAATAAGAAAGACAAGGCCTCTGCTATCACCCAATTTATATTCTATTGGGGTGGGACAGATAGTAGATCAGTAAACATATATGCAAATAAGAATTCCAGGTAGTAATAAAGCTATACAAACCAAACTAAACTAAACCAAACCCACTGCCACTGAGTTGATTCCAACTCATAGAAACCCCTATTGGGTTTCCTATGCTGTAAATCTTTCTGGAAGTAGACTACCTCATCTTCCTCCCGTGGAGCAGCTGGTGAGTTTGAACTGCTGACCTGCTCGTCAGCATGCAAATGTTTTACCCACTATGCCACTAGAGCTCCTATAGCGAAGATGAATCAACAATGGCGAAGATAAATAGGGTAATGAGCTAGAGTCCCTGGAGAAGCGGGTGCTACTTGAATTGACTGGTCAAAGAAGCCTCTCTGAACACATGACATTTGAGACGAGGCTTCTTAGCTGTGGAAAGATTGGCGCTCCAGGCAGAGGATACAAGGAATGCAAACACCTAAAGGTGGGAAGAGGAGCTCTGGTAGCGTAGTGGCTAAGGCACTTGACTGCTAACCAGAAGGCTGGTGGTTCAAACCCACCAGCCACTCCTCGGAAGGAAGGTTGGGCAATCCTACTTCCGTAGTGATACTGCCTCGGAAACCCAAGGAGGGGTCGCTATGAGTCAGGGCTGACTCGAAGGCACATAACAACAACAACAACAAAGGTGGGAAGAGCTTGGCATATTTGAAAACTAGAAAGCAGGTCAGTGAGGCCAAAGTTTAGTAAGCAGGGGGAGGAGGCGGAGATAGGATCAGGGAGGTTGGCAGCGGCCTCTCATACAGGGTGCTGCAGGAAAGTTTTATTTGGAGTGAAATGGGGAGTCACTGGAGGGCTGTGAGCAAAGAAGTGAAAGGATCTGATTTACATTAAAACCTCTTTGCCTGTGTATGAGGACCCTGGGCTATGCTGTTGTTATGTGCCATTGGGTCGGACCCAACTCATAGCAATCCCTCCTTGGGTTGCCGAAGCGGTATCACTACGGAAGTAGATTGTCCAACCTTCCGTCTGAGGAGTGGCTGGTGGGTTTGAACCGCCAGCCTTTGGTTAGCAGTCAAGTGCCTTAGGCACTATGCTACCAAGCAAGAGTCACAGTAGGGCAGAGATGGTGGATATGGCCAGGATGGCAACTAGGAAGTTGGCAAGAGGTGGTTGGATTCCTGCTGCTTTCTGGATGTAGGAGGTGAGGGAAAGAATCAAGGATGACACCCTGGGGGGGGGCTGGTGGGTGGATGACGGTGTTTACCAAGGTAGATAAGTTGGGATCAGTGGCCAAAGAGTTTTGAGCAAGTGAAGCTTGAGATGGTACTGGCTGTCAGGAAGGGAAGGAGCCATAGAAGAGAGGGCCAGGCTGAGGCTGGAGTAGAAACAAGTGCCACTTGAACTGGTAGGTGTCAGGCTTCGGTGAGACCTCTAGTGTTACACAGGAGAGGACCTAAAAGCTGCTGAGGTGTCCAGGCCCTGCCACATGGCAAATGGGGCAGCAGTCCTGTCTACCCTCAATCAGCCTTATGTTACTCTGCCAACTATGAGGCACCTCATTCCTGGTGGAGTGAGTGCTAATGACAGGTCAGGAGGATGAGGAAGGTAGAGATGGTAGGGATCCTTTGAGCTTTCAGGAGATAAGCAAAGAACAACTCTGTGGTGGCCAATAGACAGACCCCTTTCTCCTTTCCTCTCCATGGCACCCAGGGAGGTGCCAGCAGGGAGTCAAGTGAGGCACCCCTTCTGTCCTTAAAACACTGAGCGTTTCAAGTGGGCTAAGAGAGGCGGGGCAAGATGGCGGACTAGGCAGAAGGATTGCACAGACCCTCTTCAACAAAGAAAAGGGAAACCAATTAACACAGACACAGAAGATAATCTTG